TCGAAAAGGGTTAAATTTATCTGATATAACTTCATATAAGAGGGAGAAGGATCGGGACTCCAGGATCTTGGATTGCGGGAGGACGCAAGGTGTTTGTAGCCAATGATTCCAAAGAAACAGAAGAGGTAGAAGGAATAGAGGAAACATGAAAGATATCATTTTAAACTCTAAACTTTAAACAGGTTTTCATTCAGATCACGCGAACAATGAAACACAATTATTCTTCTGGTTCTCGGTGCTATGAGGTGAGGTATCACTACAACAAGGGACAAGACGTGGTAGCTCGATATTTTGAACTCCCGCTTTGCAAGTGGGAGGTTGTGGGTTCGATTCTGTTCTATCTTCCCCTGTGCATGATCAGTTGGTGCTAAGTTGGCCCCCCACGAACTCGTCCCCAGCCTAGTGCAGCATACAGTTTGATCAGAAGATGGAGTAGTTCGGTAGGTTGAGCTTGGGTGCTGCAGAAGAGAAGTCCAACGTTCGACTCGGATCGGCCCTTGCATCACGTAGCACGGATACAGATGGGGTGCAGACAGGCATGTGCCTGATAAGTCTAGTGGAGCGGATCATCACGTAGTAGTGGGTTACCTTAGGACCTTGCTCTGGCGGGTTAGCGCTGTAAGAGGGATGACTTGGGGGCTTTGCATGGAAAGCGTTTGTCTGCTTCCGATATGGATGAAGAGACTACAGTAGGCCCGGTTGACGATAGAGGCTCGGGAGTGGATGGTGGCCATAGTCCGGCTAATAACTGAGAAAATGGGACCACTCTTGAATGACAACAAAGACAGAATTACTAGAGGGGTCTCGTTGATGACGAAAAGAGACTGCAGTTTCTCCAGATGATAAACAAGTTAAAACAACCCATAAAAAACATCCAATGGAAAGACAGAACTACAATGGCCAGTGGTGTCAAGTTGATGACGAAAAGTCCCTCCGGATGATTGAAGGACTTGCAAAGAAACAGTCCCACACACAGTCAATCCCCCGCTTGCCTGGGGTAAGCAATGCTGGCGGGCTGTACAATCCTACTGTCTTTCCTGAGCATATTGTACTGGGACACTGGACCCATTTTCCAGCAGGTGCCGCTCCCCACCAATGGAACGGAGCAACCAGCGACCTTACTCGGGGAGGCTGCTCATACCGCCACCCCTGGTAGGCGGAGGAAAAAAAAAAAAAAAAGGGAAGAAGAAGAAGATAACAGCTATACTAGGTGGGTTTACCTGGGTTGCTCAAGGGGTGTCATAGGTTGGACCTTGGCCAGGGGGGGGCATTAGGAACCCTGCTCAGCCCTGATTGGGGGACGATTGAGGACCACCTGTGGGACCTGTGGATAGAATGCTTATACCTAGTGCCCGAAGTACCCACGCGACACCACTCGCCTGATCATATGGCTCAATCAGGGCTGAGCAGGGTTCCTGCTCTGCCCACGCATTCACACCTGCTGTTGGGAACGGTCCCGCCACCAGAGATGGTAGAGGGGTGATGGTCCAGAGTGGTAGTCACTGGGGTAGGACTGGGGGAGTGGGGGTCTGCCGCGTAGAATTGATAAGAGGAGGGTGGGTGACAGGTCTTGTAAGGGGGTTCAAAAAAAAAAGATAAAAAAAAAAAAAACAGAAATGATAAATCAGTATAAGAGTGCTGACAGGTCAACCAGAACCGGGATTGGCCTTCCCTTAATATGGACCAGGTGTGAGGTGTGTCCTGGGTGTGGGAATAGCATGCAGGGTCTCACCTGCAATGCAGGTTCTCACATGCTTGCAGACATACAAATAAACAATTGCATATTAAGTTATTAACCTAAAGATGCCACAACACCATTAGAAGGCAAAACAATTTTCAGGCAATTGCAACTTTCAGATGGGCAGGAATCAAACAGGCATGCCATGGAAGAGAGGGTTGAACCTCAAATTCCCTGAGGGTTTGTGCATTCCTTATACCCTTTCCGCAGCTAGCATCATGAGAAGCTCAGGAGAAAAAGAATGGTTGTGTTCACTTAACTTCACTGTTCACTACACACCTCCACAAAAAAAAGCAGGATTGTGCCAGACTGTTTCCCCTCCGACTTTCACCGACTCACCAGGAGGTTGTGTGTTTCTGTGTGTGCTGTCATTTTGCTAGAGACAACCAAACAAAAAAAAGCACAACATTCCCAGACTGTTTCATCAGACTCTCACCGACTCATCAGGTGGTTCAGTGTGCGCGTGCAAAACACAGAGAGAGAGAGAGAGAGAGAGAGAGAGAGAGAGAGAGAGAGAGAGAGAGAGAGAGAGAGAGAGAGAGAGAGAGAGAGAGAGAGAGANGAGAGAGAGAGAGAGAGAGAGAGAGAGAGAGAGAGAGAGAGAGAGAGAGAGAGAGAGAGAGAGAGAGAGAGATTCTGTGCTGTGTGACATTTTCATCTGTCCTTGTGCAATTCCCTTCAGGCAATTGACAGTTTCAGACCGGAAAAGGACTAGTCCCAAGTTCGCCAAAAGAACGTAGGATTGCAAGCCAGCAACCCAACTCTTATTACAATTCTACACAGCAGGCCAAAAACAAAACAACCTGGAAGGGAATCCTCACCACCACTGACTTCCTTCCTTCTGTCTGCTTCCAAGATGTCAAAGAAGGTCAAGGTGAAGAACTTCCAGCATAAAAAGCGAATAGAAGTTTGAGCATTGCTCTGGAACTAAAACGCGATGCTGAGTTGGCTGCAGGTTACCTCATCACTTGTCAGTCGGCAGATCTTTAACCGGATGCTTTCCGGACTCCAAGCATAATAGTAGAATGACTTTCAGAATGCTAGAAACTCCTGTCCCTTGACCCAAGCACCGGGTCGTCGCTGTCCCAAGGGCCAATGCTACACAAGGTTTGAACTCATGATCTGCAAGGTTGCCCATGAAACGCGAAACAAGGTCACCAGACAATAATCTCAAGAAACTCCCCGGGCCTCGACTCCCCCAGATGAAATATATTGTCTTGATGTCATCGAGGTTTGAACTCATGATGTGGTCACTATGCCTACCATGTAGCTAGATGGGCCACCAGGTCCCAGTTGCAATGTTGTCCACGTATTAAGTGAAGAAGCGAAATTATTGAGAAAGTAAAATCATCCACAAACTACAAACTTGTGAAGTGGTATGAATCAAATTATTGTGAAGGGAATTCTCGGCGAAAAAGAAAAAGATCCCGCTGCTGCTCTTGACCGTGGCCATTAGACTTACTTTTTTTTAAGAGGACGAGTGTGACACCGAACCTCCTGTCGCGGCGTTGCCCCAAGAAGGTGTGTTGTCAGCACCCAAATAGTAGCACCGAACCATCTTCTTTTCTCCGTGAAGGACGCAATAAAACCATTGCCACAACTTATGGCATCTCCCTTGTTGGAAAAGGTTGCATGCCCAAAGACAAGAAACCAAGTATGAAAAAGCCACTAAGTGTTGGCTGACAGGATATGCTCTCACCAGAGACAGCACTGATTGCTATCGCAGACGGAAGGGGGACGAACATGCAGCTTATGGTTGATGGTAGGTGGGGTTCAACAGTTCCGCAGGAGGAGTAGGGAAGGCGCAGGGAGAGAGACAGAGAGTCATCCTTCATGATGCGGGTTACGGCAGAGAGTCATTTGCACCTGCCTGCCTATGACACGCTGTGAAAGAGCCAAGGAGAAACCAGCAGTACGCATCAGCTCTGGTGACGGTTTTCCTAATCGTCTCCTTTGTTATGTCCGTGGCGGCCCAGCGTCTGCTCTCCTGAATTCAAAAGAAGGTGCTGCAAATTGGCGTGTCGATTCTCGATGCATTTGCAGAGCTCGCACCTTCTAAACCTTTGTTTCCATAAATAGAAACCAAACCTAATGAAGGTCAGAGGTAACCAGAGATGCCAGAACTGAAGAAGAGAGAAGCACTGCTGAAAATGAATGATGGCATCCATAACTTCATCAATTACGATTCCTCTTGCACGGGACTGGTGATATCTCCACCCTCTCCATTCTCCACATTTTCATAGTCATCCTCCCTGAGATCTCCTTTCCGAGTCATATATGGATCACCCTGCTCGTCCTGTCCATCATGGCCATTTTCTGATAGCTGATCCGTTCCTTCTTCCAGCGCCGCCTTAATCTCTGCAATAGGATCACGCAGCAGACTGTCTCCCAATTCCGCATAAGCAGAAGCAGGAAGCAAATTCTGGCGCGATAACTTGAACTGCTCCTCGGCTTTCAAGGCGCAGTCAAAATTCGGAAAGAGATTAGGGTACTCTGAAGGGTCGGCCAGCGATTCAGCTGCTTTCTGATTCACCTTCATCAGGTCATGGCGCCACAGGTCGACAACCTCTGAGATCATGCTCGGAGCATACGTTCTTGCCATGAAAGCAGCCTCAGGGAGGCGGCCACTTGCACACAAAAGCTTGACGCACTCCTCTACATTGCCCAAGAGGAACAAGCACAGAAAAGCTACGTTGCTCTTGCCCCGGTCCTTTGCAGTCCGGGCAAGATCCTCCACGACCTTCTCGCTCCCCATAGCTGTCGACAGCAGCAGCAGGCCACTTAAATCGGCAGCATCGCAAAGACATTCCTGAGCCACCTTAAACTTGCCTGCCGACATCGCCAGCTCTCCCAGCTGTCTCCATCTTGCTTCGCTTTTCAGCTCCTCCGCGATTTCACGCGCACAGTCCAGATTGCCCAGTTGCAATGCCAAATCGAATTTGTACTCCGGATCGGTCGCAATCTGCAGGGCATCCTCAAGCAGCTCCTGTGTCTCCAGAAACCGTGCAACGCTGTTCCAGTCTGACTTTGGTATGGTGGGCAGAATTGCTGCCGCACCCTCCAGGTCACCGCGCAGAACGAGTGTTTTGTACTGGATCAGGCTCAGCAACAGCGTGTAGCTCATGACATTGAAGTCTTTGTCGATGAGATAGACTCTACTGTAACTTGTCAGGTACCCAAGGAGGTACATTGGACGATCCAAGTGGAACATGGTCGTCACTTCTCCCCCCACACAGTAGTTGAGGCGCCATTGTGAGTTGTTGTAAATGAAACAATCGCCCACCCAAACGCCAGTTATCACTCGCTCCGGCACCTCATGCAGGAGCTCGAATGCATCCTCGATTCCATCGTCATCGATCGTCTTTCCCGAATCCAGGTGCGCAGTGACCACGTCTCGATGGAACTTCAGGATGAAGAAGCTGTCGTCACACAATATCGTCAAGAGCTCCTCACTGTCCGACCAAAGTATGTTCTTCGCAGAAACATCGATACGCCGAACCAGCCGGCAGTCAGCCCAGTCATAGAAGCAGACAAATTCATTTGATCTCACGGCCAGCAACGCACCACCAAAGATGCCCTCCGCCGAAAAAGTAGGCCGAATGCTTTTCCGCTCCTGAAAGGACTTGTTAAAGACCTTAATCTTCGATGTGCTCTCCCGGATGGCATACTCTCCATCAATTGACCACACAAACTCAAGCGCAGAGCCAAAGGAGCGATTCCTCCATGCAAGAGCCGTGTAAATGATGTACTCGCCATCCCCACAAACGACCACAAAACGCCCGTTGGGGTTGTGCTTGAGACTCTGAGGGTACAGGTCGCAGCTGCCAAGCTCTTTCACCGCAAGAGGCAACCGCTCGCCGTTGTTCACCTCCACGTCCGCACCCACAGACTTGATGTTGACAGTCTGAATTTCATTGTGCTTTGCCCACACAATCTTGCCACTGCCATCCATGCTCGCTACCGGTTCCTCTCGTCCGATCTTTATCATAACTGTGCCTTCGTCATAGCCAATCGCAACTCGGTTGGACCCCTTGCAGGCACCAATCGCCCACACGCGCTCAAGGCCATAGTTCAGAGTGTTCTCCAGCCTGTAGGTAGATGCGTGCCATACACGCAGCGTCCCATCCTCCGAGCCAGTAATGATGACCGGCAGCTCTGGATGGAAGAGAACAGCAGAGACATTGTGAGTGTGTCCTTCGAGAGTCTGCACGCAGCTCTTTGTCTGGTAATCCCACACTTTGACGAGCTTGTCGTCCGCTCCTGATATCAAATGCGGACGGTCGCCTCCACCAAAATAATCCACACAGTTCACACCCTTTTCGTGCCCCTCGAGCGTGAAGTTCGGATTCGGGTTTCCTAAACTCCACACCTTGATGGTCCTGTCAAGAGAGGCAGAAGCGAAGGTGTTCGTGTCCTTGGGGTTGAACACGACCTGCATCACGTAGTGCGCATGGCCTTCGAAGATCTGGGTGCAAATCCAGCCTTTGTCCCAATCCCAGATCTTGATCAGCATGTCATCAGATGACGACAGGACGTAAGGAAACGTTGGATGCACAGCCAAACATCGGATGTAGTCTGTATGAGCCTCAAAGGTCTTCACTTTGTCTGCCGTGTTGTAATTATACACCCGGATAAACATGTCATCCGCACCCGTGACAACCCACTCTTTCCGCGCAATGAACTTGGCAGAACGCACCGGGAGGTCAGTCACCTCAAACGACTTAACCAGGGTTTGTGTCTGGTAGTTCCATAGATACACGTTGCCATTGTACAGACTGGCCAGAATCCATGGTTCTGTCGGATGAAGATCAACACTCTTTACACGATCCGAACGCTGCGCAAGTTCCCTCTTGATCTCCAGGCGGAGCGGCATCTTTGTGCTGTGCAAACAATGGTTACTTCACTGCTGCTCTAAACAGCCTACAATACAAACACCAGGAGCAAGGTGATCGCATGTAGTAAGCAAATGAAAAGGAAAAACAAGGGAAAAAAAAACAAGCAATTCGCTAGTGGTGCCTGCTCTTATCAGCACCGTCCAAATGCCTAAGCGGATGATTCACGGGAAAAAAAAAAAAGAAAACACTGACCCCACCAAGGAAGAAACATCTTTCATTCAGGGAACTGGAAACTTTTCTGTTGCTCCAACTACCGTCTTCACCCGAATAGAACGCCCGGTCATTGTAGCTGTGCATTTGGCCCAACTTTCAGTCCAGATGCAGCGATAATGACCGGGCGTTCTATTCGGGTGGAGACGGTAGTACGAAAGGAAAACCAACAACACCAAGAGGATTCTTCTTTTTATTACCACCAGTACTCCCCAGAGATGTGTTGGTTAACGCGCTCAGATATACAGGCCTGCCAAGTGGCACCTTCATTCAGTGCACACAACGGTTACTCCACCGCTGCTCCTGGGTCAGGGATTTCCCTCGAGTACTTGTGTCAATAACTCTTTCTTTTTTTTTTTACCACCAGTCCTTTGTGCAGGTGAACTAAAAAATTGAAATCCAGCCAATCCAAGAAATTCAGAGACTCGGGGCTACCTGGCCAAAATGGTTGGTGGCACCAACCAAAAGAGGAAAAAAAAAGAAACGCCCCGCTGGCATTTCGGCAAAGCTGCGTGTCCAGAGGGAATCCGCCTTGGCTTGAAGGGGCTCGGAGGTACTGGTAGTTTAAACCACCAGTACATTTCCCATATATCGGCCGCAGGCCCCTCACCCCCACTTTTGGAGGGCCAAAACGCAACACGGGCCGCTGATGAAATTTATCAATGGTGGCCCGGCCCTGAAAGTTGCCCGTGTTAAACCGCCAGCACCTTTGAGCTGCCCTTCGTCCGCGGCCGTTGCCTGATGCTGTGGGAGGGCAACCCGAGAAAACAGAGCTGCCATCGTCATTTAGGAAAGAAAAAAAAGTTGGGGAGTGCACTTCGGCACTGGAGCTAACAGTATCCCGAATATACACGCTCTGGAATCTACCATGGGCCTCAGTGCACTACTCACCAAATTTGCAAAATGAGAATGAATCTTACGCTTACCGGACCACAATGGCTGGCTTATTCGCCAGCCAAGACAAAAAGTGCACTGCTGGCGGTTTGGGAAAGCTTGGCTAGCAAGAAGGCGCCTTCAGACCTGGGCGTAGTGGTGTGTTTAAACCACAAGTACACGGCCCCAGCCTTGCAGTCCGAAACTCGTCGCCACAAGAAAACGAGGGTGAAACGTCAAACGCTGGGCCCACCGTTGATAAATTCGATCAGACCCGCGGCCCAGGTGCCCATGTACTGGTGGTTTAATGCCAGTGATTTCGGTGCAAACTGACCCTTCGGCCAAGTCAAACAGATTGGCAGCCAAGCACTTACAGTAGCTTTTGCAAATGTGATTGGGGGCCAGGCAGGTTCCAGACCGTGGTCGCAGTCATCAGTCAGCCATTGGCTGACCACCTTTTTTGTTTTTTTTTTCCGGTTGTCCACCTTTTTCATTTTGTTGAAACTGGGACAAGAGCGAGGAATATGGTCGATCGCTAACGGGATGTCAGAGCCCTTAGACAAAGGATGTTAGAGCGCTCGTACAAAGGTGGAGACTTTGTTAGAGCTCTCCTTCAAAGGCCGAAATTGTGTCAGATGTCATCATTACCATTCTTTTCCGCATCTTTTCTTTGCAAACAGCATCCGGGAGAGCATCAAATTCATGTTCGAAACATCGGCTATTTCTCTCCAGGGGGAAAATCCCACTACCCACTATTTCGGATATGATGTTCCTTCATGAGGGGAGGATTACCCAAGAAGCTAATGGACAAGTTCAGGAAGAAGTTCTACTAGAAGTGACCACTCGTCCTTCTAAAAGATGAAAAAGGCGGACGAAAAAGGGACCAGTATTGCACTTCCCAAGGATCAGCGATCCAGTCATTCACCAACAATCTAAGCTAAATATTCCATCAGGTGACCTTCGATCAGCAAAAGAGAAACCTGAAAGAGGTGAACCAAACGGTCCGTAGGCAAGCCACGTTTTGATGCGTGTTAAGGGCATCAAGGGGTGCGGCGTCCTCTCAAAGCGATAAGATGAGCAAAGATCTTCACAAGTTGAGCAGCTTTAAGGGAGTGTCCATTCCAAAACCCTTCCATCACGCACTCGCGTTTATCATGCAAGCAGACAGGTCATAATTCTTCTCACCCGAGGGACACTCATTCATTCCGAAATCAGGCAAGGGAGAGAAAGAGAAGCGAAGAAGTAGCGGCTGGAGTACTCTGTTTCCTTGATCAGCGGGAGTGCTGCAAGTCTCCTTGCTATTATCATTCCGACGAGCGCGTTGTTGTAACAAGTCAGATGAGCACCCCTGTGATGAAGGCCAAGGAGGGTAATCTCCGAAAAGATCCTAGCGGATGCATTCCAAGATCAAGAGAAGAAGAACGCATTCATTCATTCACCACCCATGGAGGTAAACATCCCTTCAAAGAAAAAGAACAACAGAAAGAGGGAACACAATCATTCGTCAGCGAGGGCCAATCGATACTCACACAAGAACCCATCAGATGACTTCACCTGCGTCCGCGCTTTCAAAGATCTGCGACCAGCGCAATCCTTAGTGAGAAGGCAAGGTGAAAGAAGTCATACATACGCACTACGGTCCAGCGAGATCACACGTAAGCATCCGTGAGTCAGACACACAACCACCACTCACTCATGCATACATTTGGAACAAGAGAGAGTAGTGTACAACCACTCATTTGAGAAAGAGAATTGGCGCCTCGCCATGCAACTTTACTCAAAAGATAAAACGAAGAAGAAGCGGAACCTTCCTCTCTCGAACTATGGCGTCAAGCCAACCAACCAATCAACAACCACTTCTCACCTCGCTCGAGCACTGGAGATCACAGTGGCCACGTACTCAGCGCTTAACCCCAGCAATCGCCCCATCCACTCAACTACTACGGCGATCCGGCCAGTGCAATCCCGTAAAGTTGGGGGCGACTTGTCAAGACTTTTCAACCCGCTTATCACCACCGCAATCTAGCCACTACTCCAGCACAGTTGGCAGATGCATTGCACTCCAGCACAGTTGGCAGATGCATTGCGAGAGCAAAAAAGACACGCTTACGAGATTTATAGTTGTGAAGGAAGCGGAGAGGGTATGATGACGAGAGACGAAAGAGAGGGAAGAGGGGGAAGGTGAAGAGGAGGGAGGCGCGCAGAGGGTCGTGTCGATCCGATTGGAGTGTACGTAGCGCATCAGATCCCAGAGTGAGGGATTCAGAGCCTCCTTACACGTTGTCAACTGGCTTCTGCGGTCACTTGGGGATCAACAAAGTCTTTCCTTATGTAGACGAAGGCGGGAAAGGAGGTTATGAGAGACGGCACGGAGCAAGACCAAGATTCAACTGGATTAAGAAGGAAGAAAGGGGCGCAAAGAGGGAGAAGAAGACAGTTACAGTTTGTCAATGATGACGCGAAGAAAAGGGGCTGGGAGCGCGAGGAAAGATTGCACACAAGAAAGGAGTGCAAAAGATACATTCGAACAGATCATAAAGGCACCAAAACAGTTACGTGAAATGTGAATGAAGATGCGCCTAATTCCTAAAAAGCCGAATTGAAATTGAAAAGTTCAAAAGGAAATTCCTCGAGTGCATGCTAAGGCATGCGAATTCTTATTCTACCTTTCATGGTGCGCAATGGTATATTGAAGGATCCCTGGAGGCCGAACGCCCTGGAGCCGTAAATCATGGAACTCTTTATAAGATCATCCGGCGAACAATCCGAGATAAACGGATTCTCAAACTAATCCGCTCTGGACTACAAGCTTTTTTTCATATGCCACACGGAAAGATTGAAGAGGCGACCATAGGTGCCGCCAGGCGGCGGCCCTTCGGCCTTAGTCCCCTACTATCAAATATATACCTTAACGAACTCGACCACTTTATAGAAACAACTAATAACGGGGCTTGCAGGGACACCTCCAAAAATTACATGCACAATCAAAGGGCTCGGCACAAAGTATTCCGACAGGTGCCCGTGATTTCTGGAGTCCGAAAAGCCTAGAAATATCCCGAGCTCACTCGCTAATGCCCGCATAACTGAAACGAAAACCCAGACAAATTGCACGGGCAATTCCGAAAGTTGCAAGAAGAAAGAACATTAAGAAAATTGGATTAACCGACGCAAATCATGCATCGAATCCCATCAAGGACAAGCCCTGAAGAATTACGCCAGTCCAAACCTCAACATTGGCGGGAGTGCGATCTGGACCGGGTAGAGAACTGGAATAGGATTTAGAGCAGGGAATGCACAAAACGGGACCATGATGGCATGCATTTCTTCGTAGAGGAAGGCCCGGTCATTGCAGGAGCATTCCGAAACGAAAGGGGTTAGAAACCAGTTCATGCGCGTAAGCTCTTGTGTCATAGGCTCTCTGCCACACTACTCCCAAACTCACCGTTGCCCGTTGAACCTAGTCCCAACACAAAAAAATACGGCCTGGTCGCGGAAACAGCCACACGACTCATGAAAACTGAGGGTTCGCCGAGGGCGAAATTGAGGACTCCCAAAATCGCTCCCAGAGCTATCACCACTGGGCAGTGCTAGCAGAGGTTTCTCATACCACCCTGCAAGCACCCTGGGGAGACATTAAAAAAAACAAAAAAAAAAAGAGAAAAGAAAAGAAAAGGCGGTGTGGCTATGGGCCTCGCTCCACTACTGTCCGCTGTACTTCTTGCTAGTTGTCGGATTATCTGAAATAGTCCCAAAGGACCCAAACGCAATATCGCTCCACTTACTATCCACTATATAACTCTCTAGTGCACTACCAGACGTCGTGACAGCACTAGAAGACACGGCGCCATCAGCATGTTGTTTGTCCAGACTCCAGGTACACTCTCCAAATTCGGGTCCGCACCGTGGTCCTCACTCCACTATTGTCTGCTATTCGGATATTTG